ACTCTCTTGACAACCAGCGCAAACAGAATGGCCGCCAGCAGCCTCACAATAGTACAAATTGGCACTCCCGTTAAACTGCGTACATTGTCTTCGATAACAATTGCACACATCAACAAGCCTGCTCTCGGTGACGAGATTGCAGTACATTTTTACAAAAAAAGGATATTTAATGCACACGAATTCACGCAAAGATATTCGTTTAGCATTGTGGCTCCGAAAAATCCGATGTCATGTAAGCAGTCCTTTTGACATCAAGGATTGCGCGTGAGAAAATATAATAACGCCTTAATATCTGATCGAATTGCGAAGTGATAGAGATAGAGATAGAGAGAGATTTTCCCCACAACCCGCAGTACAGCCCCAAAAGCATGCTCTTCTTTCACCGTAATTTAATTTACCTCACTTGTAATACCGCCTTTGCCAAAAATATCTCAGGCATTTTCGCCAAGGCATCGTAAAGCCTGCCTCGTCTGTTTCAGGTCTCTTTGCCTGTTCATGTCTTGCGTGTGCTGAGCTTGTGCTGATCTCACATTTGATCTGGCAACCAGTGAGTTACCATTTATTGACGACACATTCAAAAGACCACCAGCCACTTAAAATCCATCACTAGTTTGAAGCACCGATTGTATTATCACGCACCTCTTAGATCAACCCGCTGTCATGAAATCTCAACTCTGCTTGCTCAGTCCTCGATGTTAACACCTTCAAGATGGCATTACCAAATTTATTCGCATTTATGGCCCTCTGACCAAGTTCGCTCAATTCCTCTTCTCAGTCTGCGACTGATTATTCTTTGCATTTTTTGCTTATCAATGGCCCACGTCGACGCACCAACCTCTTGAAATTGTGGAATTTTTTAATGCCTAACACCATAATATATATTGTGCAGATTCGATGTTCTCAATAATCTTTTTATATTCGTAATTGTTCCTTTACGGTCACAGTAATTGATAGCAACACGAGAACATCCGTACAGTGATCAAAGACTGTGACAACAAACAACACTCCTGCTCAAACTTAAAAAATTGCAATTTAAAAAGATTTAGTATTTGTAACAATGATAAAACATTCTTTCATTTTCACTTCCGCCATGACCTGCTAAACAAGCGTGTTCGATCATCGAAGTAACAGTACCACAAATTAAGAAGACAGTTTTTGTAGCAAACACTATGTTTGCATTGGTGGGATCAGAAACTGCACACTCTCTCCCCCAACGCAGTGGATTCATTGTTGAGTACATCAGGCATAATTTCCAGTTACAGACCTGATTTTAAGATCGACTTAACCTCAAATCAAATTCCACGTAAAACATACTGCAAAGACTCAAAAATGCACTCGAATGCATTCACCGAACTTGTGGAAATGTCTTTGTCAAAATTTTGAGCTATTTGACACGGACACCAACTCATAATTCATCTCAGATCTTTCAATTAGCGAAGTGCTTTGGAACCTGTAATGCTTAGAGCTTGATAATTTGTTTAAAATCCAAATGACTACTTGTCCGCGAATTTAAACCATCAAAATCGTAGTCTGATTTGGGTGGCTAATAAAACCTCACTAGGACCCGGCGGCTGGGAGTTGCGTGGACGACAAGTGGGAGGCAGCTGATTGGCTCCGAGTGGTGGCCAAGCAGTTTGCTGCCGCAGCTGCGACGTCGAATAAAGACTGAGCCACAATGTAAACTAGTGAGTCAAATTTTCAGATGCAGGTACGTCCAATAACGGTTACTGTGCTGCCTAAAGAAAAAAAACTGATATATTAAATGCAACCACTCGGACAGACATTTCCAAATATCTTACAAGTTTTGCTTTCACATCAACCTGCCCAGGTTTAACCTCTGGATGAGAATCAGTACTGCTACTGGAAACTACTCATTTCTGCATGTCCTCGTGGAATCAGGCTAACGCATGCTCCCAGAAACGGTAGACAGGGCTGCTCAAAAGTTCAGCTGTCGCCATCAGAAGACCCCAGTGGGGGCGCCTGATACACGTTTAGGCGCCTGATTCCATCAACACACGACTAATCAGCTCTTTCATCCGCTCCTTCGACTGCTCCGCAAACAGGCAGAGAAGCGTGTTGGAGAAGTAGTACGTGTGCGAGTTTGGGTAACGCAGCTGATTCGCCATGCAATTGAGCAGGAGGCAGTGACCTGGAGCAATCAAGTAACCACTACTCATTTGACATATCGGAGGAAGACAAACTATTATCCTTTGATAACTAGCTAGTAAATAATGTCCATCCGTGGAGTGTGCACTACCGTTGTTACGTTCAGCGGCATCCCGGTCTGACGCAGTGTCTTCACTGCCGTGATGCAGATGTACAGAACTACATTCATCGTCAACTCGACGTTGTATTGGAGATTGGCAGCCAGACCGAATGTAGCTAGATGTTGGGTGGCGCGGGCAGAGCAGAGCATCCCGGCGTTGGCCTGTTGGCCACCCGCCTTCTTGCCCTGTGGTGGAGGTGGGGCCTCCTGAGACACCGCCTCACTCCCATCGTGCTCCCCTCTCGTTGCCTGAGTGGCGGCGGTGGCAGCGGCCAGAGCCGAGGTGTAGAGAGGAATGTGAGGAGAAAGCCGGTGATGCGCACACAGTCACCAGTTCGGAAAGCACTTTGACCGTTGCATAGTTCGCCACGTACGTGTCGATTTCGCCACAAAGAATGGGTGGCAGTCATTCGCCGGCTTGCATGCAGTAACCCGAAGAATCGTCTTCTTGACTCAGCTGGTCCACGTGTGAGAGAATCAATTCGACCTATCAACCAAGCATTCTTGCTACTAAGCGGAAAGCACAACGCGAGGAATAGCCAGGCCGATTTAACTAAAACGACGATTCTAGACACATGTTGGTGATAAGAACTCAGGTTCAAGGGATCAGGTGAGGCAACACATCTTCTAGGTTTTGCAGAAGGAAGCAAATTCCTTAGTTGGAGAGAATTCAATGAGACGATGTTGCCCAACAGCTCACAGTACTAAGTCAGGAGGTCGGGAAATTTGTAGTAAAGGACCCGACACAGACGGAATATGGCTGTGTAGACGGCGCAATAGGCTCGGGATTTTTGTACACGAGGATTAGACACAGCCGGAATATGGCAGTGCAGAGGACGGAAATAGGCTCCGGTAACTGAGCACTGTGGATGTAGAACGAAAGGAATTTGAGCATGTCGACTAGCAGTTGAGCGTAGACAGCACGATAGGCTGCACGTAGGGTGTGCGACACGCCGTCTTTCCTCGATGCACCTAGGGTTTGGTCCACTAACACTTGATGTGCCACTATCTCGAGCCACGTGAATATAAGGTTGGTTAACCGCTCTGGTTGCAACATGTGCAGCAGATTGCCATCCGCCAGAGGGACATT